ATAATTATAAAAATTATAAAAATTATAATAATAAAGATAATAATAAAAATAATAATAATAATAATAATTTCTCTAATTTAAATAATAAAGATAAAGATAAAAATATTTAAAATAATAAATTTATTATTAATTATTAATCTAATAATATTAAAATTATTATAATATATATTTAACTAGCGATAATATATAGTTTTATAATATATATTAATTTTAATTTAAAGAATATTATATATCTTATTATTAATTCTTAATTCTTATAAAATTAAGTCTATTATTTCTTTATTAAAAAGAATTTAAAGATTATAATTTAAACTTCTTCGATATCTATAACTATTATATAATTATATTAATAATTTATTAATAATATTTATACTTAATATATTATTTATAACTTCTTAATTTTTTAAATCTTAATTTTATTTAAATTATATTATTTAATTAATAAAATTAATAGTTTAATAATAGCTATAAATTTTAAATATATGAAATTTAAATATAAAAGTTTTAAAGATAAATAAGTTTTATATATAAAAGATATCTAATATATTCTTAATAGTAATTTTAATCTAATTTCTTAAAAATAACTCGAAAATTAAAACTATTCGCTTTAATTTATATTTAAAAATATTAAAATAAAGAAATATAATATTATTTTTAGACGCTAGCGTAATTATCTTTATACGTTAAATATATAAATAAAGATCTTTATATATTTAATAATTATTAATAAATATATTTCTATCTATAATAAATTTATTATATTTATATTTTTATTTTTATTTTTATTCTTATTCTTATTTATTAATACTCTAAATTCTTAAATTAATAAAAAAATCTTATATATATAATATACTTATTATAACTACTTAGAGTTTTAAAACCTTAAAAAATTAATTAAAATATATATTAAAATAAATTTATCTATTTTATCTTTTAGAGATATATATAAATTATATAATATTATTAATATAAAAATTAAATTATATAAATATTATATAACGCTAAATTACTAGAAAAATAATCTAATCTATAATAACCTCTAAAAATCTTTCTCTATTTTATATAATAATTATAAATTAATAATAATTTTTCTAAATAATAAAACGCTTTATTTCGCTATATTCTTATTTTCTAATAAAAATAATTTTATTATTCTTAATTTCTTATAGTCTTTTTTAAATTATATTAAATATAAAAATTATATTTATATTAGATTTTATAATAATTATAATTTCAAATATAATAATTATAATATATATACTTTTTAGCTTATTAAAGAAATTATTTAAAAAAATATTATATTTAATAACGTCTAAATAAATAATAAATTTAAATATCTCGATTAAATAATATAATATAAAATTAACGCTATATTTAAAGAGAGTAAATTATTATAAAAATATTAATCGAAATTTATATAAAATTTTAATTATTTATATAATTTATAATTAATATTAAAAAAAGATATTATCTTTTATAAGATCTTTATAAATTATTTATCTAATATTTTATATCTTTAAATTATTAAATAAATAAATTTCTATTAAATATATCTATTAAATATTAATTGAATTAAATATAGAAAATATATTATATTATATATTAATATTAAATAATAAAATTTAAATCTATTTAAATATAATTTAAATTTATTTTATTTAAGCTTAATCTTATTAAAAAAAGATTAATAATTAAAATTTATTTAAAAATAGAAATAAGCGTTATATAAAATTTTTATAAAGGATTATATATAAGCTATTAATTTTTTTTTCATATTAATTTTAGAGAAGAGAGCCTTAAAAAGAATAAAGTAAAAAATATTTATTAAAGTAATAATTATCTTAATTACTACTCTAACTAAAATCATTAAAAAAAAATTACTATTATATAAATTCTTATTAAAAAAATATCTTTATAAATATCTTTATAAGAAGTATCTCTATAAGTATTATTATAAATATATTTAAAAAAGATAAAGTTAAAATTATCTAAAATCTTAAACGAAAATATACTTATAAAATTTATTTTAATAATATTAATATCTCTAATATAAGTCTTAATAAAGTTTATAATTAGATCTATAACTAATTAATAGCTTCTTTTAAAATAATTTAAATAATACGAAGCTCTTAGAGCTTATTATAATCTTTTATCAAATTATTTATCTTTTTAACTAAAGCTAACGCTTTTAAACTATTTAAATCTTAAATTTATTAAGAAATAATAGCGAATAAATATTAAAAAATAAAATAGAAACTTATTATATAAAAAGAAGTTAATTCTCTTATAATTAATACTGTCCTGGCCATTACTAAAGATATATTACCGTTATATAACGGTTCTATAACTAATAACCGATAAACAACCGATGTATCACCGATGTACAACCGATATGAAACCCAATTCATACTCGTTAGAAGAATTATTCTGACTCATGATATCACATCGGTTGTTCAACGGTCACGTGACGGTCACGTGACAGTTGTCGAACGGTTGTAAAACGGTTGTAGAACGGTTATACGATTCTTATAGAACTATAAATAATCTATATAATAACTAAAAATAAATTTTAATTTTAAAGTTCTTTATAGGGCTGAAAATCCGCTTAGTATATAGGCTTAAATATCAACGCTAGTAACTTAAAACTGTTTTTTTTTCAAATTTTTACGAAATTTTTATATTAGAAGATATATTATATAATACTACTAGCCTATTCGAGACTTAGTAAAAAAAAAAAAAAAAAATTATTATAAACATTATAAAACGGTTATAGAACGGTTATAAAACTATAACCGTAGTGGGTTCTAAGGGAAGAGGTCTTTAGTTTACGACGGTTGTAAAACGGTTGTAAATCGGTTGTAAATCGGTTCTGAAACGGTTTTCCAACTAGCATAGAACCGTTATAATACCGTTTCATAACCGTAATACGCTAGTTCTAAAACTTTACAAACGGGCAGGACGGTAATACTTAAATCTTAATAAATGTACTTTTAAATATATATACTCTAAATAATAAATAGATTTATAAATTTAAGTGAGATTTTATAAAGAAGATTATATAATATAAAGTTTAATAAATAATTTATAATTTTAAATAGCGTAAAGACGTAGATTTTAATAAGACTTTTATTTTTATAATTAAATTTATAAATTATAAAGTAATCTTTATTTTAGCGATAGCCTTTAATTAAAAATTAAAATAAATAAATATTAAAATTACTTTTCTTTATAATAATATAAAGAAATTATCTATATAATATAATTTATAAACTTTAAAATTAATAATAAATATATAATATATAAATTAAAGAAAGCGCTATATAATTTAAAGTAATTCTTAAAAATCTAATATAATATTCTCTTTATATATCTAAAAAAATTAAACTTTAAATTTATTATAATTAATTTTTTAATCTTTATTAATAATATTATAATAATTATAATTTATATAAATAATATTCTCTTAACTAGTCTTAATAAAATAAAAATTTAAAATATTAAAATAAGTTTAATAATTACTTCGAAATAACTAATTTAAAATTATATATTTATTATTTAAATATAATTATTATTAAAAATTATATTAATTATATTATTTAATTTAATTAAATAGAGTATATTAAAAACTTTCTTATTAAATATAATATATAAAAATGTATAAATATATCTACTTTTATAGATATTAAAAGGTATTAAATATTTAAAAAAAAATCTCTAAAGTATCTTATATCGAGTATTAATTAAGGTAATGATAAAATTATTAATATATATAATACTTAATATAAAATTAAATATTATATTTATAATCCTAATAATATTTTAATATAATTTTAATTTTAATGAAGTTTACTAAAAAGCGATTAAATGAATTTTTTACTATTTTAAATAAATCTGTCATGGTTTCAACCGGCATTCCTTCTCCAGACTTGCGCTAGACTCTATTCGGGCTAGCTCCTTAACGACTTAGCACTCTAATAACTTCGGCACACATATTACTTAGCAATCTTTATAGTTAATATTCCATTCATATAACACCACTAATATTATTATTCGATATACGATTTATTTCCTAACATAATATTAACTATTCAACATAGCTATAAACTAAGCTATTATTGCCTGCCTGCTCCTACCTACCTACCTACCCTACCCTATAAAGATCTCTCAAATATCGACTACTTAATCGCCTTATTATGGAGGAGATATCCGGACGATTCCCTGCCTACCTACCTGCCTGCCTGCCTACCTACCCTACCTCTACGAAGATCTCTCAAATATCGACTACTCAATCGCCTTGTTATAGAGAAGATATTCGAACGATTCCCTATCTACCTACCTACCCTACCTCTACGAGGAGATATTTCGACTATCTCTCGCTTACCTTACCTGTTACCTGCCTGCATTAGTAGAGAGATCTCCATCTAATTCGTTATAAACTCGGATTAAGAAGAAACCTATTCTAAATCGTTATTAACGATTTAGCATTATTAGGCCCAGATTTATAGCCTTAATATTACTATTCAGAATCTCAACATAACCATAACACGACTTCGAGAATCACGAGACCTTCATCGTTTCAATATAAAGACTCTCACTACTATAAACACGGAATTGCAAATCAAAATTCAGGCCTTGACTATTAAAGAAGAAACGGTCACTCCAGCAGAGCCTCTAAATTCCGATGTGAATAAATAACTAATCAAATTAAAAGTTACTAAGACTAGAATATCTATCTCTACTATCCTTATTATCGGGAACAATAAGAAATACCCTGATGTGCCCTACTTCTATGGTGAAAAGAGAAGTAAGACGAGTGGCGATTTCACCTAGACTCCAAGTTTCGGCAAAGTGCCGTATTGTTTCCCAGTGAAAAAGATAAAATAAACTATATTCGGGACCACTGTAAGTCAATTGCATTCGATGTGCTTAAGGCACGAGCAGATCCACTGAGCGAGGATCCCTACAAAACCACGAAAGAGATGATTTTAGAGCTTCATAACATGTTTAATAATTACGATAAGCTGGCAAAGAATGACGCCCTACTCCATAACCCGGCGTTTGCTATGAAAAAGAAGGAGGCATTTGACAAGTTCTATGCTCGATTTTCAGCTACCATTGCGCCATTGAACTACAGCGAAAGTCACAAGATCGCTGCACTACGAAGACTCATTACTCTCAAGCTCCGGTCACGAATCGCCGGTATCTCATCGTCTTCCTTCCGCTCAGTTATTAAGCATTTGCGGAAGATTGACTAAGACCTCCGTCAATTGAAGGCTATGCATGTGGATATAGAAGAGATTGATAAATAGGAGTTCAAATCAGGCCCACAGCGATCACCCTATTCGGAACAGCTGAAGGATCAGCTGAAGAAAGAAGGCCGATGTTTCAAATGCCTTGGCTATAGCCACCGGCCCAATCAGACTGAGGCATACATGGCCTCAAAGGCATTGTCGTTTGAAGAGGCAAAGGCCATTATGGCCAAGGAAAAGGCTGTGGAGAAGGCTATGGAGAAGCAATGACGGCATAGGCCTTACCTACAGCAGCAGCAATGGATTTCTCCTCCTTCCCCTGATCAGCAATAATCGTTCCGCCTAGCCGTATGCGGCTAGCGCATTTAAATCAGTTTCGATTCGGCAAATTATCGGACTTTGCGTTTTTGAACGAATTAGCCTTATTCGATTTCGATTTTTTTACCACACCACCTCTCAGCACCCCACACCATTACTTTAAATACCTTCCCGGGCTATTACCCCATATTGATACCTCTGTTACCTACATCCGCAGGCCTACTACATAAGATTTAGCTCAATACCACGATCGGACACTAAGAGTATCTGCGAGAAAAAGTTCAAAGTTATTATTTCAGAGAGTAGCAAATATACTTCAAACCATAAAGACCAGTACACCATAGATCATGACGATCGTCTCACTATTACCACCTCGCCGTCACTATAATTTAAACTATAGAAATATGGCCATTTAAGGGGGAGATAATATCATAGTTTCAACCGACATTCCTTCTCCAGACTTGCGCTAGGCTCTATTTAGGCTAACTCCTTAACAACTTAACACTCTAATAACTTCGGCACACATATTACTTAGCAACCTTTATAGTTAATATTCCATTCATATAACACCACTAATATCATTATTCGATACACGGTTTATTCCCTAACAAAATCGTTAACTATTAACTTATTTTTAGAGAAGATTTAAAATCTCTAAATAATTATATCGATATTAATTAAATCGATAATTAAGATATTTATTACTTTATATTTAAATATATATTTAATATTAATAATAATAATATTAGTTAATTATCGAAATAATAATTTATTATAATACTTTTAATTGATAAAATTAAATATAAGTTATTAAAAAAATAATTTAATTATATAATCTACTAAATTAGCTTAATTTTAATAATAAATAAATATAAATAATCATTATTTTTTATAATAATTAAGACGCTATAGTATTAATTAAAAACTTTTAATTTTATATCTATATTAAATATATTAATATTTAATATTACTATATATAAAAATAAATTATTACTAAAAATATCGCTTTAGATTATATTTTTATTAATTAATAAATAATTAATAATCTTATTAAAGCCCTCTATAAAAATAAATTTAAGAGTTTTTTTTAATTTATTAAATTAGAATATCGTTTATAATTATAACTTAATAATCTTAATATAAAAGAGTTATTTACTTTAGAAAAACTATTTTATTAATTCTCGCATTATAAATAATTATTTTAAATTATTTATCGAGTCGCTATATTAGATTTAATACTTTATAAATTTACTATTTTATATTAAAATAGCTATTTTTTTAGCGCCATTATTACTATTATTATTAAAACTTTTAAAACTCTTTTTAAAAAAATTATATTTATTCCTTATTAATATCTTAGATATTATATCTTTAAATTATTATTATTATAATTACTATTATTAAAGATTAATTATCTAAAATAGCCCTTATAGAGACCTTATAGCCGACGATATATAGCTAGAAAAATTTCTTCTAATTATTTTATTTAGCTATTTCTATATATATCCTCTAATCTTAAATTAATTAATTTTTAATATATAAGATACTAAATAATCTAGAAATAAAATTTTCGAAAAATCGTTTTTTAATAAAAAGTGGAATTTAAGTTATATTTAAATAAGGGCTATAATTTAATATAATCATTTTCAAATTTCGACTTTTTACTTTATCTATCCTATTTTAGACGTCGCGAACTTTAAATCTTATATTTTTTAATTTCATTCATATAGAGAATAGAAATATAAAAGATATATTTTTACGCTAACTACTTAATAAGGTACTAACTTACCTTAACAATTTAATATTAATTTACTCTTATTATCCGGCGCTAATCTCACCTTAACTACTTAGCTTAAATTTTACTTTAATTACTTAATATTAGTCTTACCTTAATATCTTAATAAAAAAATAACTGAATTATTTTACCTTATCTACCCAATTTTAATATTATTAATATTAAACTTTATATTTATTAGATTTCACTTATAAAAGAATATATATAAAGAAAAGTATTAAAATTCAAATTATATAATTCTTACCGTCTTAGTAATTATATAATTACATCATATAATACACCTTAACACGTCTATATTAAGTCGCTCTTTTCTTCTATAGAACTCTATAGTTAATATAACTAAGTATTCTATCTTTATATTTTAATAGATTTCGCTAATATAACAATAGATAGATTTTAAAATATTAAAATTATAAATAAAAATTTTCTCTTTCTTTCTTTCTTAATATTTTATTTTATTTATCTTAATCTAATTTAATAATAATATATTATTAATAATTATTAATCTTAATAGCAATTTTATTATATTATCGTTATATAGAAATAGTAATATTAATATATTCGAAAAATAATAGAAATCTTAATAATCTTTTTAATAATATAAATAATTAGTTAAATAATAATTTATTCAATCTTTATATTAGAGCTTTAAATTAAAAAGAAATTTTAAAGTCTTTTAATTATAAAAAGATAATTACGAAATTTTTTAAATAGAGTAAGCTTTTAGTTATTTACGCTTTTAATATAAGAATTATAAAAAAAAGTATATTAAGATCTTTATTTATAAAGATTAAAAATTAATATTAGAAGTAAGAAAGCAAATATAGTAATATAATATTTTAATAAGTAATATATATATATAATTAATAAAATTTTAGTTATTACTTTATATATAAGAGTAATATAGAAATATAGATATAATAAGTAATATATAGTAAAGATAGTTATTCTTTTACTTAGAAGTAACTACTTATACTATTAAACTAAGATTCTTATTAAGATATTTTCTTAATAAATATAAAGATAGATAAAATTATAAAACTATATAATTATAATAGCTTATTATAATAATATATCATTAATAAAAAGTATAGCGATCTTAATATATATATAAGTAAAAAGTAATATAAAGTAAGTAAATATAGTAGTAAGCTCTTATATAATTAATTTCTTTTTTTTAGATATTATTACTGGCCGGAAAGGTATGATATGATATGGGATATTGACCTGCCATACCATACTCTGGTATGATATGGGATATTGATATTTGCATGATCCCATACCTGGTATAATATGGGATCTTGGCGGGATATACCACGGTATGATATATCTGTGGTATCATACCATGGAATGGTATATGTATGGGATATCCCGTTGGGATTTCTATATTTAGAAGTATAAGTAGCTATTCTAGTCATCATTCTGGCCAACCATGGCTGGCACTACCATGGCTGGCACTACCATGACTACCACTACCATGACTACCACTACCATGACTACCACTACCATGACTACCACTATCATAGCTACCATATGATAGTAGGCTATTTGAATAATAAATAGTGATAGCCATGATAGTGGTAGCTGTTAAAATATCAGGTATGTGATGTGTAGAACGGACGGATTGATTCTCCAAAACCTCTCCGGGGCCAGGTCCTAAATACAGTACAAAATCAGGTGGCTAAAGAACACGGTGGCTGGGATGCGCGGGGGCCACATTTCGACAGTAGCTATGGTAGTGATAGTCATGATTGGAAAGCTTGCTTTCTCAATGCTTAAGACTTGAAATCCCAAATGGCTTCTACGCTAAGAGGCTAGTGACCAATCAGATCCTCGAATCTCACGATTTCTAGTCTAAAACACACCTTATTTCTTTATTTTCGATCTAAACACGGGTACGTTTAAAAGAGGAAGCACTATAAGGCTGAATCTCGAATATTAACTTTATTAATTAATTCTATTAAATTCCTTTAACGTTACGTAATAAATAATAATAAAGTAAATTTATAGAGTTATAGAGTTAATTATATACTTTTAAATAATATAGCGAAGACGAAATTTAATAAAGTATTCGTAAAGATATATTAAAAACTAAGATTTATCGAGCTCGCGAGAAGAGTCCCTTCGACAGAAGCCCTCGGAGAGCTCTTAGAGAGCCCCCGGAGGGTTAGAGGGGTTTTAGAGAATCTCCCCCTAAGTATATTAAATAAATTACAACGTCTCTCTCGATTCTCAGTAAACTATAACGTCTCTCTTTAACGTCTCTCTCGATTCTTAGAGTTAGATTTCTTAAAATTCATTAAATCCTTCGAAGCTCTTTAAGGGCTCTCCGAGAGCTTCTATCGAGAGGTTATTAAAGTAAGCTTAAAATTAATTAAATATTATTAAAATAATTAAATTTCGAGTTTACTTTAACAGCCCCTCAATAGAAGCTTTCGAAGAGCCCTTAAAGAGCCCCCGAAGGGTCCGAGGGGTTTTAGGGGATCTCCCTGAGAATCAAAAATAGTTAAAAACCAGTACTCGGCAAGCTTTTCACTACTGGGAAGGACACGCCCCAGCACATATTAGTGAGTGATAGTCATGGTAGTGGCAGCCATGATAGTAGCAGCCATGGTAGTGGTAGACATGGTAGTGCCAGCCATGGTAGTGCCAGCCATGGTAGTGCCAGCCATGGTAGTGGTAGACATGGTAGTGCCAGCCATGGTAGTGCCAGCCATGATAGTAGCAGCCATGGTAGTGGTAGCCATGGTAGTGGTAGCCATGGTAGTATATCGAATGGGGGTAGATACGATTAGCCGTTGACCAGAATGATGATTAGAATAGCTACTTTATACTTCTAAATATAGAAATCCCAACGGGATATCCCATACATATACCATTCCATGGTATGATACCACAGATATACCATACCGTGGTATATCCCGCCAAGATCCCGAACCCACACCAGAAAAATGGAATAATATTCGACCCTACCCATACCATACCCGGGTACGGTATGGTATTACTTGATATGGAATATTCCATGGAATATATCATATCTTTTCGGCCAGTAGATATTATAATCGTAATAGCTTATTCTATAATAAGTAAAAGTTCGATTATAAAAAGCTTTTATAATTATATTATTAATAATAAAAATAATAATAATATAGTAGTA